CGCTGCTGCTGGCAAGCCCTGCTGCCCTCTTCCCAGGCAGTCTACAACATTTAAACCAACATTTAAGATCTCATTCTGGCACCAGCACAGCTGTTGAGCTCAGACGTTAGAAGCTGACGTCTGTATCAGGCCGTTAAGATCCTGGGCAAGTTACTCAATCTTTGTGAACATCAGAGCTCCTTTCCCAGGGAGAAGAGCAGCAGCTACTTTAGAGGAATTTGAGATTTGAGTTAAAATATGGAAAGTCCCTGGCACACAGCAAATGCTATGCAAGCATGTAACTATTGCTTTATCGTTACCACTAACCCTCCCCTAAAGCTAAACACTCTTTCTACTCTTGGTACTTTATCACAAGAGATTAAAAGCTATGTCCTTACCACTGTGATTATTTCAGGGCGACTCTGTTTTAATCATTTTTTTAATCCTCAACTATCTGATATTTTGATCTGAAAGTTTTAAGTGTGGAACACCTTAAAGCCAAATACTGTGCAGATGCCAATGAAAATGCAAGTCTCTGAGGCAATCCTTGGAAGATAAGCTGAATGTTAAGTGTAAGGTAAGGGGAAAGTCAAGCTTTCATGATATTCAAATCAAAATGGAACCTTTCAGTGTGAAGAAAATACTGTTTTGTGAGACACTAAAAGGCAGGTTTAAGATTACATCCAGAGAGTCAGAAGTTTAGCCCAGCAGCGTGCCTACTTGGCAAATGTGAGGTAGTGAGTTCAATCCCCGGTACCAAAAATAAAGATTACATCTAAAGAATTGCAGACCATGCTTAGACTACTTCAGCCTCACCTCTGCATCTTAGGGCTTCCCTCACCTTAAGGAAGGATGTAATATATTATTTAGTAAACAAGTGAGCCCTATGAACACTGAAATGCATGCATAAAGTACAGATAAGAAGATTAAGTTGTGTAGGAAGTGGCGATGGGAAGTTAAAACCAGCCAGCCAGGCATGATCACATGCCTGTGATCCAAGTACTCAGGCAACCTGGCTGCGTAAGTGAATTCAAGGCCAGTCTGGACAATACAGTGAAACCCTGTTTTTTCCCCCTCAAGGAGGAGAAAAAAAATGAGTAAAGTCCAAAGAAATACATTTGATTAGTGAAACAACTTAATTATTTCAGTTATATAACCGAAGGCTACATTGGAAAGCAGACAGGATAAGAGATATCTGCTGGGTAATGCTATAATACAAGTAAGAGTCAAAGACTAACAGGGACAACAGAAAAGGAGGATGGGGTAAATACTGACAATGTGAAAAGTCTGCAAGGATGAAGATTATATCTGAATCAGAGATTTCTCGCACAACTGGAAAATGATGTCATTAATGAAGAAAAAGAACACTGAGGGAAGAACATAGCTAGGCATCCAGTCAATGTAGCTATTCCACCTAAATTCATTTTTGAAAACAACAAACATATAATTGAAACCAAATGCTGAGAGAATTATGCTATTGCTCTGGCATGCACTGCTCAAGCACATCAGGGCAAAACATATTCAATTCAAAGAGCTCATCTGTTTACTAAATAATATGTTACCGCCTTTCCTTAGGGTGAGGGAGCCCTAAGATGCAGAGGTAAGGCTGAAATAATCTAAACACGGTGCCCGTAATTTTCTTTTTTCTTCCTTGTAATTTTCTAAACATAATCTTAAAACTCACCTTTTAGTGTCTAACAAAACAGTATTTTCTTCACACTGTAAGGTTCTGTTTTGACTAAATATCATCATGGAACTGGCCAGGAGATTTATTAACTGGCCAGGAGATTTATATTAAAACACTGACTTTAACTTTGTCTTCTGCTTTGCACACTTGTGTTAATTTTTAAACAGTGCTTCTCCTTTGCAACTCCTATCAAATATGCACCTTATGCTTTTCTTTGTCAAGACTCCCTCCCTCTTTTTTTTTTGAGGCAGGGTCTCATTATGTAATGCAGGCTGTCCATGAACTTGCTTAGGTAGCCCAGACTGGCCTTGAGTTCACAGCAATCCTCCTGCCTCTGCCTTCTGAGTGCTGGGATTACAGACATGTGCTACCATGTCTAGCTAAGACTCCCTTTCTTAAAGCCTGAAAAAAAACTGCAGTATCTTAAAATTCTCATCATGGCAATCTATTCCAGGAGAAACACAATCTAAGGAAATTTAAATAAGCCAGATATTCCTGTTCCTGAAATAGGGAAACAGTAAAACATTTTATACAACAGCAATCAAAACTTTAACGCAAGGGGCTGGGGATTTAGCTCAGCGGCATAAGCACCTGCCTTGTAAGCAGGCAGTCGTGAGTTCGATCCCTGGTACCGGTAAAAATGAAAAAGACAAAAAAAAAAAAAAAAAAAAAAAAAAAAACAACTTTAACGCAAGACAGAAATGTCTTGGGTATTTTGGGGGAGAGGGTGGCGGGGGTGTGTGTGTGTGTGTGTGACATTTGAGACAGGGTAACTCCATGTAACGCACACTGGCCTCCAGTTTACAGCCTCTGGGGTGTTAAAGATTACAGGAGGGTTGTTAAGGGGTATTAAGATCACAGGAGTGCTGTACCATACTCAGCTTTCTTGGGTGCTAATTTAAAAACCAGTTATCTGTCCTCCCCACTCCATGTGACTAAGAACAGATGATCTTTCTGCTTTTCAAACATCCCAGGTGATAATTCTCATGCAAGAATTTCAAGGCCACTTTGGGAGATGCCTGTCCTACTGGGTGTGGTGGGCCACACCTGTAATCCCAATCTGAAACACATAGTGACATAGTCTCAAAAAAAACCAATAAATAAATAAATAATGCCTGCCTTGGCTGATGTCAGACACAAAGTTTAAAAAGTCAGCTCCTGAGGCTGGGGATTTAGCTCAGCGGCATAAGCGCCTGCCTTGTAAAGCAGGCAGTCGTGAGTTCCATCCCTGGTACCAATAAAAAGGAAAAAGACAAAAAAAAAAAAAAAAAAGTCAGCTCCTGGAAGGCCAAGTTTGGTTGGTGGCACATACCTATGATCCCAGTGGTCAGGAGACTGAGGCAATATTGCCTTGAGTTCAAGGATAGCCTGAACTGCATGGCAAGACCAATTCAAAAAAAAAAAAAAAAAAAAACAACCCATAACAAAAAACCCAAATCCAGTTTTTCCTCACTTTTGTGTGACTTTGGACCAGTAAAGATTAAAATGTCTCATCTACAAAGTGTAACACCATAGGCTTCAGAGGAATACAAGATTATCAATGAAATAATACTTACTAGTGCCCAGTAGTACCACCTATAACTTTTACTGACTCACCCCATTCTATAAGAGAAAAAGGAGGAAGCAATGCATCCATGTAGTTTTTTTTGAGACAGGGCCTCACTATGCAGCCTAAACTGGACTCCAGCTTGAGATTCTCCTGCATCAGTCTCCCCTGTACTGGATTCCAGGCATGTAGCATCATTGGCAACCATATGCATTATTCATCATGACATTTTAAAAGCTCGTCATGACTTTTTTTTCCATTTTATCATAATTCACTGAACATTAAATTTTAGAAATCAGAAATCCATACTTTTGCATTATCCAGAAATTAATGATGCACTTCCTGTATCTTTCTTACTACTTAAAAGCTTGATAAAGGCCATCAGTTAATACTGCTTCATCTCTTAATACAAATAGCAAAAATATTATGCAAATTATCACCTAGGCCCAAGGATGTAGCTCAGTGGTAGAGCACTTGTCTAGCTCGTGTGATGCTCCAGATTTAAACCCCAGCACCACACACACACACACACACACACACACACACAAAACCACCTACCAATCTACAAACAGATTTCAGCTCTAAAGTGGGAAGTACAATGAAGTCAAAATGAGAAATGAATGCAGATTGTGAAATGTAAAGGAGCCATGACACTCGGCACACTGAGAGGCAATTATCATCTATCAATATTTTTCTAATGCTGACTTGTACAAGGCACTGTCACACTACCACCCAACCAAGGTAAATGGGGCAAGGGAAAGAAGGGAAGCAGAAACTGGAGTCCGGATGGCTCTGGACACTAAGGCAGAAAGGTATTTACCAGGGTGGGAGTGGGCATCCAGAAGGAGGAGAAAGATAAGACTCTGGCCAAAAAGAACAGACTCAGGGGTAAAGATAAGTTCTGGAGACCTAAAGTACAATATGGTGACTGTAACAGTACACATCTGATGCCTGCTGAGATTTCACAAGAGGGGGCAAGTGTTAACTTCATTGGCTTGACAGTGGTAACCGATTCACAATAAACACATGGATCAAACTATCATACTATAAATCTTAAATATGTACAGTTATCATCTGTCAGTCATAATTCAGTAATGCTGGGGGAGGGAACCAAGTAAAACCTTGCAAAAGGGTTTTTTTTTTTTTAAGTTAAAAAACAGTAGTTGGGCATGGTGGCACAACTGTAATCCTAGCATTCAGATTGCCTTGAGTTCCATGCCAGATTAAACTACATAGAGACGCTATCTCAAAAAAAAAAAGTCAAAACACTGGTCTATCATACAAAATCTGGCAAAAGTCACTGAAGAACGGTTGAGACAGGTGACTATAAAAGTCCTTGCAAAAAAAAAAAAAAGTATTTAAAAAGAAGAAAAGGATAAGCCCGTGCTATTTGTGCTGAAGAAAGAAGGGTGGGGAGCGGGTTCAGAAAGGTAAGACAGAAGGTGCCGATCAAAAGATCTAAGGATGGGTTTTCAAGACCCAAAGTGGCAAGAGAGGGAGCGATCCAGCATCGGCCTCCACCACCACCTCTCCACCTGCACCCAGTACCGGGCAAGGGAGGTCACCGGAGGGTCGCATCGGGGCTGGGGCAAGAGAGCCGCAGGGAACCTGGAGCGAAGCCGCCCCCTGGGAGGAAGCGCTGCAGGAGGGCGGGGCAGATGCACGGAGGAAACTGAGGAGGGTGATCGGGAAAGCGCGCGCACAGCTGGAGCCCCCTCCTCTGACCACACCGAGGCCGCAGACACTGGGAAGGGAGGGTGCCACGAGAGGGAAGCAGACAGAACTTACTCCACGGTCTTCCTCCGAGAGGAAGTCGGGGCCGTCGTCCAGGCCTTCCTGCTGGTCCGGCGGGCCAACAGCGCCAGCGAAGAGGAGATGATGGGGGAGACACAAAGGGAGACATTAGAGCCAGACCGGCGTGGTCCCCGCTCCCTCCCCGCGCCCGCCGCCCCCGCTGCGCGCCCGGTGCTCAGCTCTGCTGAGAACACCCACCATCATGGCTGCTCCGCTTCTAGGGCCAGCGCAGGCGCACTAGTGCCGCAGCCGGAGCAGTGGGCGGGGTGGGGGCCGAATCTAGGGGCGGGGTCTCTACTGGTTCCGCCCAGATCCCCAGGAGCCAGAGTCCCGGAAAGAAAGACTGCGGACCCTGCTCCCAAGGTAGAAGTGTCCATATCCAGGAGGGCCAGAGGCCCAGACAGATCCATGGAGCTGGGTGGCTGCTCGGGGCTGACCTGCTGTCATCCGGAAACGGCAGAAGGTCTCCCGGGTTGCTGCCCAATTCCCTTGCCCTGTGGGCTCCACAAAGAAACTTTTCCAGCACCGTGGAGAAACCACAGTAAATCATCTAGTCTTTGCTTTGAGCCACAAGATAATTAATCACAATGAATATCATTTTGGCAGTAGAGTTGCCTGTCGGAACCAAACGCTTTCACACAGTGAGCAGTCAGGGTCTATAATCAGACTTTACTGCTGGCAAGGTAATAACTACCTCAGGCTTTGGGGCACTAGTGATTGAGCACTATAAAAATGAACTGTTCCCATTACAAGAATGTTCCTTTCCTTTATAGGAAGAAATTCCTCCGATCTAACTGTCCAGCAGTATAGCACTGCTTCAGATGAATGGGAGCTCCTGCCACGCCTCGCACGCCTGCAACCCTGGGCTTCCGCCTCTTCCCATACTTGGGTAGGAAAACACAGTCCTATTGGAATCCTTCCTCTCCCTCCTTATACATACCGTAACAAATATTATTGCACCTACAGTTGACTCTTGAATTGATCTGGGTTTCCCCACTTCCACAGGAACCACCATCAAGTGTCCCTTGTCTGGATCTTTGCTATCAACTAACTTTTCTCATTTCCTACGTCTGTCTCCATTTTTACACACTACTGCCGGATTTCCTCCAAAGATATAGATGTGGATGGCAACACTATGCTGCTCAGTAATTGTTAACCACCTCCATTACCCAAGGGGCCAGCTCCAGCTCTTCAGCCTACAGCTTCAAGCCCTCTACATTTGAACTAGGACAGCCTATTTTGCCAGGCTCTGCATTCCATATTATTGAACTGAAGCTCTAAAAACATCGGTTAAATGAATTATTTAAATCTTTTTTATTTTTATGTATTTATTTATTTTTAGTTTTTTGAGACAGGATCTTGCTATGTAATTCAGACTAGCCTCAAAATCACTGCACTCCTCCTGCCTCATCTGCCCAGGATTAGAGGTATGCACCACCATGCCCAGCCAAAAAAAAATTTTAATAGTAAAAAGCTTACTAATATTCCCAGGAAAACTTCTTGTAGCTTTCATTTTCTATGTAATGAGAGCTTTTCTAATGTACAAAAGGAAAGCTACAAGAAGTTCATAGAAGTTCTTGCCCCTACAAAATTATTCTTAAATATGTTGAGGAAGTGGGCTTCATTTTTTGTTTTTTTGAGGCAGAGTCTATGTATGGTTTTTTTTTTTTTTTTTGGTCTTTTTCGGTACCAGGGATCGAACTCACTTGCCTGCTTGCAAGGCAGGTGCTTATGCCACTGAGCTAAATCCCCAGCCCCGTCTATGTATGTTTTGAGGCAGAGTCCACTATGTAGTCCAGAGAGAAGCAGAAACAGAGACAGCGAGGTAATAACTACCTCTGGCTTTGCAGCACTAGTAGTTGAGCACTATAAAAATGAACTGTTCCCATTACAAGAGTGTGTATGACTGATAGGAAGGCCAGGGTTGTCTTTTTGGACAAAGGTCATGAAGTGCCATATACAACCACCTCACATGCCTCTAATCATTTTAAAGTTCAACATTTAAACAAAATCCAGAGTTGGGTGTAGTGTTGCACACCTGTAATTCCAACATGTGAGAAGCTGAGGCAGAAGGATCACCAAGAGTTCAAAGCCAGCCTGAGTTACATAGCAAGACCCTGTCTCAAATACATGAAGTCCAGAAAGATTGTAATTTGCAAACATTTTACTTTGCCAAAACTGAAATTGACAACTATTATTATTATTTTGGTGCCAGAAATCGAACTTAAGCTCTTACACTTGCCAGGTAGGCACTGTGCCACTGAGCTATATCCTCAGCCCCTTTTATTATTTCAAGATTGTGTACACATTTGTAATTCCAGCACTCAGGAGGCTGAAGCAGGAGAATCACCACGAATTTAAGGTCAGCCTGGGCTGCATAGTGAGTTCAAGGCTAGTCTGAACTACATAGTAAGACTGTCAAACAAATGTATAGATGTATCTAATAATAAATAAATAAATATAAGTAAAATTTAAAAATAAATCAGTAAGCAAGTACCAGCAGCCCCATATCTGGGGGGAAAGAAAGTCATGTCTGCAGAAGGGCAGTGAGGTCAATGCTCCTGGGTATCTACATTACTCTTAGAGAAATAACTACCCCTGCTATGTAGGCTTCAAACCAGGAATCAGTAGCTGTGGTGAACACTCTGGATCCCTGGAAAACATGAGAGGAAGAGACTTGATCATCAAAGGAAGCAGAACCTAGATTCACTGACAACAACCATCATTTTAAACCAGGTGTGGTGATGCCTGTTTGTAATCCCAGCACTTGGGATGCAGAGGCAAGAGGATCACTGCAAGTTTGAGGCTGGCCTGGGCTACGAAGTGAGTTCAAAGCCAGCCTGAACCATATAGTAAAACCCTGCCTCAAACAAAGACCAAAGAAAAAAATCTGTCATTTTAACTGTGTGGGAGAATTTTATTTGGAAGCCAAAATTTATGGTAGTTTAATATACTTCTTTCTCTCTCCTTCTCTCTCTCTCTCTCTCTCTCTCTCTCTCTCTCTCTCTGTCTCTCTCTCCCTCTCTCTCTCTCTCTCTTTTTTTTTTTTTTCCTGAGGCAGGGTCTCGCTATACTGTTCAGGCTGGCCTTGAACACACTATGTAGCCCAGGTTGGCCTCAAACTCCTGACATCCTACAGCCTCAGCCACCAGAATGCTGGATTACAGGGGTGTGTGACCGTGTCGTGTGGTACATGTCTTCTTTTAGGGTAATGGAAAATATGTTGATTGTTGCACAATTTTGTGAGCTTATGAAATCCACTGAATTGCACATTTTAAGAGGGTGACTTTTATGGTTTGTGAACTGAATTTTACTTTATAGAACAAAGTGACATTGGAAATTTCTTTCTTAGGAATTTAAGCTGCTAGAGTTTTGTTTTGGGGATTGTTTTTGTTTTTGGAAACAGGGTCTTGCACTGTATTTGAACTCACTATGTAGCCCAGGGTGGCTTCAAACTCACAGCAATCCTCCTGCCTTAGCCTCCCAAATCTTGGGACTTGCCACCAGGCCTGGAGAGACTTTTAAGAAAAATATTCCAAAGGGCATTGCATTCTTTTCTGAAGAGGTGTCTGTGTGTTTGTGTAAGGGAGAATGAGTAATGTATGCAAAATCCATGCCTTGCTTGGAAAACCTGCTGCTTTACCCTATTGCTTTAATCTGGAGGAATAACTTGTTCCCTTGTTTAAGATCTAAGGTTATCTGGAGCAAGAACCAACATCCAGCAAAGACTAACAGAGCTAATTCTAAGGCAGGATGTGAAACGGCCTCCACCTCCTCTGCAGAAGTCCCAAGAAAGAAACATTTCAAACCAGGTGTGTTGGTGCACACCTGTAATCCCAGTGCACCAGGAAGCTGATGCAAGACAATTGCAAAGTGACAGACAACCTGGGAAATTCAGTGAGACTCTGTTCCAAAATTTAAAGATTTTAAGAAGGGCCAGGGAATGCAGTTCAGTGGGAAGGCCTTAAGTTGAATCCCCAGTGTGTAGGGGGGGGGGGGCAGCATTCAAGGATGAGAGCTGGCCTTGCATTCCCTGGAGCAGTCAGCTTGAAAATCCCCCACAGAGGGCTCCCTGGCCTAGGGCCCCACTGGTCTCCCCAGCATGCTGCTCAGCTCCAGCTTGCCTGATAGTCAATTCAGGAGTGGGAGCAGAACTGGGTTCGGCAGCTAGGGTGAAAAGAAAGTACAGTGCAGCCTGGAAGCAGAGGCCACCAAGACCTGGGTAAGCTCGGTGGCCTAGACCCTCCTGTGCTTCTGCTGCCAGATAGACTTTCCCTCTCATCTCTGCTCTCAAAGTCCCCTCCGTCCCTAAAGCACTGGCCAAGGAGGTCTCCACCTCCCACCTCCCCCCATCCACATCTGCCTTTCCTTGCAGTGGTTAAGGAAAGGCAAGCCTGGATCAGAAAGTCACCCCTCTCTAAACCCTAGGGAGCAGTCTGCCTCTCATGCCTGTTTTCTCCTATGCCATATGGAAATAATAACATGGATTCTGGACTCAGCCTGCCTTGTTATAAATCTCAGCCTTTTGGCTTAATTACTTTCATTTTGGTTTTGTTTTTCCAGGGTCTTGCTTCACAGTATAGGCTGGCCTTAACCTCACTCTGTAGTACAGGCTGACCTCAGATGCTCAGTGATTACAGGTCCTGGAACAGCCCTATAACCTTATATCTGGTGATTGAAAAATTATTCTGGAATTCTACAAACTAACTGGATACTCCTAAAAATCATGAAAAAGTAAAGACTGAGACACTGCCACAGGTCTAAAATATAATGTGGTATCTTGAATTAGATCCCAGAAGAGAAAGAAATATTAATGGAAAACTGGTAAAATGTGAACAAAGTCTGGAGTTTAGTTATTAACAGCAGATTGATATTGGACTCCACAGTAATTGAAGATGGTAGATTAGGGAAATCAAAATGGTGTCGTACATGGGAACTCTTTGTACTTTCTTTGAAACTTTTCAGTTGTCTACATTTGTTCAAAAATAAAGTTTTTGGGTTTTGGTTTTATTGAATCATTATTTTTGAAAGGGATCCAGGCATTTACCACACAAAATGACTCCAGACTGCATTCTAAAATGGGGTCAAGCAAGGGCAGAGAGAACATTGTAGTTAGGGTTTGCAAGGGAAACGATTTAATACAGGACACATAATTTATAGGATTATTTTATAATATTTGCCCAAAGAGTCAAATGCAGGGGACTGTCGGAGATCTGTCCACAGAGACCCAAAGAATCTAGCTGAAGGCCTAGAGCCCATGACAATGTCTCACGCAAGACTGTATTAAGGATCTGCATTGAGAAGGCCCAAAGGTCAGTGATAAAAGCTAGAAAGTCTGCGCCAGCAGGCTGAAGGATTTGTACCAGCAGGCTGAGGGATCTGTGCTGGAGCCAGAAAGTGATGCACAAATAAGGACCAGAACTCCCCCAAAAAGAACCACAGCCATCCTCAGTGATATGATGGTCCCAAGCTCCTCTGATGATAACAGTCGCATTCATATCAGGAAAGCCAGTGACAAGCTTTTCCAGGAGCACACTACTGTTCCTTCTAGTTCTCTTTTTATGCTGTTGGCAACAGCCCTCAGGTGGGCTTTCCATACCCAGCACTACACTGATTCACTGCATCTGGGTGCTACAAATTGACCATTAGCTAATGCACCACAGAGAGCAATCAGGATCAAGGGGAGGGCATCCCTTCTGCCCTACACTTGTCATCCTGATGCAGTGATATCTGGGAAGTGCAATCCTGGCTGAGCGGCAACCACAGTGCCCTGTGAAAGATCTATGTGGGATGGGGCTTGGTGGTACATGCCTGTAATCTGAGCATTTGGGAGGCTGAGGTAGGAGGATCATTGTGAGTTCAAGGCCAGCCTGGGCTACAAAGTGAGCT